CACATTGCCTGAAAAACCACCTCATGCAAGCGTAAAAACATTTTTGCGATATATGGGCATTTTTGCGAAATTGACGCATTTATATTAGGCGTATTTTCAATTCGCAATTTCAATTTGCGCAATTTGAAGGGTAATGGAAACACGCCTACTGACTTGCATGGTATGAATCACCAAGAACTACAGTTTCAGCTAAACATCTTCTGTACTGCTCTACTGAAGAAAAAAGCCATCTACATCTTGGATGATCTGAGGATGAATAAATCAACAGCAAATTTTCATTTTTGTGTGAACTGTCCCTTTAATGACGACACATTTTCCAGATTTAACAAATATTACTTAGATTAAAAAAAAAACAACAAAAAAAACAATTCTAATTTGGATTTTTACATTTTCAAAGTAATGAATGCTTTATTAAAACTAAGTATATATCAAGTTAGTATTTTAGTATTTTTTTTTTTTTACATTTATTCCAAAATAACTTTTAGAACAAAGTATCAAATTTCAATGTTGTGTATTTTATTTGTGAAATCATGTTTAGTTTTTAATACACACACACGCACACACACACACACAAAATCATGCTAAACTGATCTTTAATAAAAGACTTGATTTGCATGTGGTTCCTCTCGTGAGAAGCTGTGGTCAAACACTTTTAGCTGAAGTGGTTTAACAGATTTTATCTGGGTGATGTTTAGGTGTAAAAGGCTGAACACAGAGAATTTTGTGTAGTTTGTGTGCTCAGTAAAAGCACAGATGAATGAAAATCCACTGTTTTTGGTCATCTGAACCAGTCTTCTCCTCAAAGATCTCAGCGTTTAATCTGACGGTCAGAACTGAACCTGACTGAAGCGCATCCCATGTGTAAACATGCATGTCTGTAATTTCCCCTTAGAATTATCTCTGAAAAACACACACCTGAACTCAACACAAATGTGTTTGTTAACGTTCAACCCCAAATCATGTGGATCAGATTGCTTATTAGTGATTCTCTAAAAACAGTGATTATTAAAGGAATACATGTGATCTGTTAAGTCACTTTAGTGCACAGTATTCCCAGAGGATAATGCGTGTATTCACAGATGTTGAACCCTGTGAAACTGACCTCTACGGCTCACATCTGTCCAGCAGAGCTTCCACTGGCCTGTATATGAGATCCTAATGAGTCTCAGAGTTATCCCTGAAAGCCTGGGTTAATGTATAACACTTTTAAACAGCTGAAAGTGACCATATAAGAAATTCTAATGTGTAACAATTTTAGCGTGAGTCAGATATTCATTTAATTTCTTTTTGCCTCTAAAGTCAATGCGATGGAAATAAAGACAGCAGGCGATGGATGTAAAAACACTGGCATGCACACAGGCACAGCGTTTCAGATTTATATTTATAATACTTACTTACAAAAACTAGACATGACAACAATACACAAATATTTACAAAATCATATTTACGGCCTTTGTAGAGAAAGTAATGCCCAGAAACATTAGAGTGTGTGTTAGTCTGGCTGCTGCTGCTGATGATGATGATGATGATGATGAAGCGTCTCGTCCTGATCGAGCAGTGATGTCATGTGCTGCGTCCACTCCTCCTGCTCCTCCTCCTCCTCCTCCTCCTCTTCCTCCTCCTCTTCCTCTTCCTCTTCTTCCTTCTCCTCTTCCTCTTCCTCTTCCTCCTCCTGCTCTTCCTCCTTCTCCTCCTGTTCTTCCTCCTTCTCCTCCTCCTGCTTTTCCTCCTTCTCCTCCTGTTCTTCCTCCTCCTCCTCCTCTTCCTCTTGCTCCTCTTCCTCCTCCTGCTCTTCCTCCTCCTCCTCCTCAGTTCACCAGATGCTGGCGGTGGATGTGGTTCTGCTCCAGCTCCTCGTGACTCGAGTGTCTCGCATATATATAATGACCGCTAGTTGATATGTAGTTGCAGAGTCACTTATCAACAGCTGTTTAAAGGGTACCATCAAGAGAATCAAACTGATATTACAATAAAAATAGTTCAAAGCAAATGTGTCATATTACACATTCATCTGATCTGATATCTGATCTTATGGCTGTTTGAGAGAAAAAATTTTTTGTTATTATTATTATTATTATTATTACTACTTATAAGTGGTCTTTGACTGCTTTAAGTAAAGTAGCATAAGAAAAATGGCAAGATATGAGACTTATAATACATTATAACTATGAGAAATATAATCCATTGTAAAAGTGGATGCAACGTGTTCATATTAAAACTGTTCTTATGTATGTTCATGAGATGATACAACATATTATAAGGTTTTTTATAATGCATTATGCATTCATTATAATGCCTTAAGAATACCCTTATAATGTATTATAAATACGGGCTTCATAGAAAGTGTTACCGAAATTTTTATTAGTCAAAAAAGCATCACTGAAAATAAGAGGAAATACAAAGCCTCAAAGGTAAAATATGACGGTATTAAAAAGAGTTCAGTTCCTTTATGCAAAATGTTTGGAATGGTTTCTGTAGGTTTTAAGACAGTAAAATTAAAGGGTTAGTTCACCCAAAAATGAAAATTATGTCATTAATTACTCACCCTCATGTCGTTTCAAACCCGTAAGACCTTCGTTCATCTTCGGAACACAAATTAAGATATTTTTGATGGCATCTGAGAGCTGTCTGACCCTGCATAGACAGTAACACAACTGAAATGTTCCCAAGTCCAGAGACGTAGCAAGGAGATCTGTAAAATAATCCATGTGACATATGGGGTTCATTCGCAATTATACGAAGCTACGAGAATAATTTTTGTGCGCAAAAGAAAAAAAAAAGACTTTATTCAACAATTCGTCTCCTCCTTACCCTGTAAACAGCGTATGGTGTTCTGTGTCAGCTGCGTCACGCTGGATCTGTTTCCTACGTTGTTGTGATTTGATCTGAACGGAAACAGCGTATCCAGCGTGACGCATGTATGGTTTGTTAGGATAGGACAATATTTGGCTTAGATACAACTATTTGAAAATCTGGAATCTGAGGGGGCAAAAAAACTAGTTCTTAGCAATGCATATTACTAATCAAAAATTAAGTTTTGATATATTTATGGTAGGAAATTTACAAAATATCTTCATGGAACATGATCTTTACTTAATATCCTAATGATTTTTGGCATAAACGAAAAATAGATAATTTTGAGCCATACAATATATTGTTGGCATATGATCTCTGCTTATGTTCTCCTAAATGTCTTATGTTAACATTTAACAGCTTCCAATTGATTATTTCCTATATCTAGTACACCTTTAAAAGCACATTTCCTTACCGTTGGTTTGATAACACTTTAATGTAGAAACTTTACTTCAAGTAAGAAATACTTTATTTTCTTTCTTCCCTAAAATTCCTTACAATATATTAGTGCATTTTCTTTCCAGATAGCACACATACACAAAATTGTTTTTTAAATCTATTTTATACTTATTATTATTATTATTATTATTATTATTATTATTGATTGTAATAATTATTATTGTTTTTAGAAGGGGTGTTCTGTGGTGCCATGTCTGAAAGTTGTTGAAGATATGGGCAAGACATGACATTGATACAACATACAAATCTTGTTAAAATTTCAACGTTGATTTCAAAGTGTTTCTGTTAACGTTTTCAACCGTTCAGCATTAAACGTTGTATCAACGCTGTTTCAACACTGAAACAAGAAATTACTTTTTTTTTTTCAAAGCTGAAGGTCGGTCATATGCCATCCTAATGAATATTGACTGTAGTAAAGGGTGACAGCTAGATTTTCCAGTAGGCAGAAGTGCTTTAATAATTCTGCCTGTGACTCACACACTGATCTATAGAAATGATCCAGGTGAATAATGCAGTTCTCTATTAGATCAGTGATCCCTCATCCTCCAGTCCAGCAGGGGGCGCAATGCAAGCTGCTTCACATCCCTCCAGTAACTCCACAGAAGATGGTCTTTCAAACTGAAACATGGGGATGAGGACTGGTTTACTGGTAACTGGGTATTTCATTGTGGTGCTGTGGCATTAATGGGTAAACTCTGGTCAACTCCGTAGCTATTGACGGGATTTGTATATTTGCTGCATAAATACTAAGAATATCTTTCTAACTCTTTACCCCAACAGTTCAAATTCACAAAGGAACTACAATTGTGTGTGGGAAGAGCTTCTCGCTGACCGTTAGCTGTTAGTGTCCAGTGATGCACCTTTGTGTTGTTCCACAGTTGAGAAATGCAATGTTTGCGAATGTTTTATGGAACAGTGTTTTCAGGAATTGTCAAATCGCTGAACTGTGTTCACAACAATGAAACTCGTGACCGTAGTTGGCTAACAATGCCAAATGCATTGGGACACACCTCTTAAATACTCAATTCAGGTATTTAAATCCGACCCATCGCCACAGGTGTGTAAAATCAAGCACTAGCCATGCAGTCTGCATTTACAAACACTGATGAAAAAACAGTGATAATGCAATCAGTCAGCTAGATATCAAGATATGCCATGCTCAACTGTAAGTGGTATTATTGATAAGTGGAAGCATCTCAGCCATGAAGCTGAAGATCTTGTAAAAGCACAGCGCGGGTCACCGAGACCGTGGATCGTGGAGAGGAAAAGTCACCAATGCTCTGCAGATTCCAGAGCCGTAGAGCTCCAAACTTCCACTAGCATTAATAACAGCTTCATGAATGGGTTTTCATGGCCGAGCATCCTCATGAAGCCTCACATCACCAGTACAAAGCCAAGCGTGGGATGATGGACAGATACTGGACTCCGGAGCAGCAGAAACCTGTTCTGTGGAGACCAATCACACAGTCTGAACAACACCAGGTGAGTGAATGATTGCTGGGTGAACAAACCCAGAGATATAAAGACTTTTGAGCTGTACAAGACAACAATACTGTGTGAATGAAATACGCAGATCTGTGTAAATGAAGATGACCAGCAGCATTACATGACAGACAGATGTCACAGGTAACACAAATGTTCATCAAATCTGCAGCCTTAAAATAAATCGATAAAACATATCTTAATCATTTCTGTCTGTATACTCTTTATTTCTCAGATTCTGCCACTGATGGAAGCAGATGAAGTACATGAACAGACATTCAAAAACATGATATTTCAGATATTCAGAGACTGTGTGAGTGAGAGGTTCATTTCAGTTTCTGAAAATCACCAGTGAGTTTAACAACATCAAGTATAAATAACCAGAGCCCTCAACAGTTATCTGTGTGAACATCAGTACATTTGTGCTCCCTGCTGATATATTATCACATGTATGATCTGTTCAGATGAGTTTATAAGAGTCCACAGAACAACACAGATCATTAAACCAAGCCTGAGTCTCTGAACACTCTCATACAGATACTCCTGTACAACACACGACTTTATATAAAAACAGCATCATGACACGAAGAACAGATTCACAGAAGCCTCAGAGCCTCATATTCATTCACCTTGTGAGCACTGATTCTGATGACAAACATGACTACAGACATCTCAAACTATTTCACATGCATAACCTTTCTATATATATGCATATATGAAGTATCTTTTTTTCTGCAGAAAACGACTTGGCTAATAGAAATTTGCATGTAAAAAAATAAAAAAATACTAAATATATAGATATCTAAAATGCAATGACATTATAAAGACGTTTTTGGTTTTATGTCATCAGTAGTGACATACATTACACATAAGATACTAGAAATAATTTAAAAAAGCAGTACTGTCCATAAACATGTATGTTGAGATTTATTTCTAATGAGAATAATTCTGTGTAGTCTGTGTGAACCACACTTACACTGTCAATACACAAATATATAAACACAGTGCATGCAGGTTTTCAGAGGGTTTGTCTGGACTCCTCGTTCATCACGTCCTCTGAGAGCCGATCATGACTTTAGAGACGAAGTTGACGATGGCGCTGGCGGGCTGCTCGGGGTCGTGCTCCGCGAACACATGACACACGTTCTCCAAACCGCTGCCTGCTTTCCTCGCCACAAACCCGAAGATCCTGCCGCGGAAGACAGTCGTTTAGCAAAGGCCTGCTTTAACCCTCTGCTGCTCTACATTTCTGACCAAGAGAACTGACATTTTTATTTGTTTTTCGGGCTGTCAGTCGATTAAAATTTGTAATCTAATTAAATACATGTGTCGATTAATTAATCTAATTAATCGCAAATTACATTTGGCTGTGAAAATACCCCCAAAAGATTATTTAAAGCTATTTTTGTGTTAAATGAGAAAGTATTAAGTAGACATTACAAATAGTAGCTTTAGAAAGACATATTTTGTTTGATTCAACATTAAAATGTATTACACATAAACATTTAACCTACAACAGCCTAACATAAACTATGGAACATAAAATAAGATAATTTGAGAAACATTCATGTTTAACACTTATGTTCATGTTCATTCATGCATTGGAAGTCATTGGTAACCAAAACAGCTTTGTTACCAACAGTCTTCAAAATACTTTTTTTATGATCCACAAAAGAAAGTAATCATTCAGGTTTGAGTAAATGATGACATTTATTTTTTTGGGGTGAACTATCCCTTTAACGCCCCCCCCCTTTTAAATGAAATAATACTCTAAATAAGAAACTAAAACTGCCAGCAGATGGCGGTAAATGTCTTTATGAGTCTTTCATTCGATTCGTTCAAGCGGCTGATTCATTCAGGAATTCAGTAAATGGCTCTCTTTATGAATGGAGCTTTGATTCATTGATTCACTCGATTCGTGCAAAACGCGGATTCATTCAGAAACTAAACACCGCTGTGTTGCTCAGAGACGCACAATTCTGCTGTGGCTTTATAGGTAATATTTTTGTTGGCAAAACTGAGCAAAAACATAATATTATCATATTTGTCAGCAGTCAACTTCATGAAATGTAAGATGATGTAGAGGTCTGGGGGCAGGGCCAGTCCGTTAACTGCGTTAAATATTTTAATTGCGTTATTTTTTCATAACTAATTAATTAAGTTAAGGCGTTAAACTGACAGCCCTAATTTTTTATTTTATTTTATTATTTTAGTTCATCAGAATGGTACAAAGCCCGGTAAAGGTTTTGGCACTTGCTGTGTAAATGCAAAAAATCATGAGCATGATTCAAAAAGATTAAATGGTGTTGAAAAAAAAAATGGTTGCATTGGTTAAAAATGACCGTCTTGGAAACAAATGGGGAGTGAATTTATAGTACTGTGCCCAAACTAAATCTTACTGAAAGCGAATTTATTTCTGATATCAACCTCAAATTTGGAACACAACGTATTTAGATTTATGGCTTTGATTTTCTCACAGTTTTAGAGTAAATCATGTTTTGGAAAACATATTTTTCATATAAAATTTGAAAACAGTATTTTTGTGCATTTTTCATAACAATAAACTAAAACTTAACTATTTAATTGCTGCAATAATTTGCCAAATGTATTCTTAAAAAAAAAGATCAAACTTAAGTCAGTTTAAGATGGACATTTCATTTTGAGTTCTATGCTGAAAAGTGGTAATGTGCAGATTATAACTATTCTGTAAATATAATTTAGTACCATAAAATCCCCATAAAATTCAAAATATAAAAAAAAACATTATCAAACTAAAATATAGTACATTAATTTCATTGAAGTAAAAAAGCAGCACGCGAGCAGCAGCAGGGTTAACTCTTCCTCTGATTAGCCAAATAAATAAAGTCCCTGAGCGTCAGTTCACAATCACATGAAAACAAGTGCACTCACTTTGCCGAGGAGCAGCCATCTCGTTTCCATCTGTGAATGAACAGAGACAGAATGAAAAAGAAATATGAGACTCACAGAAACACCAGCTGAGTGTAAATGATATGAAGCCGGTGATGGAGCAGAATGGACTCACTTCCTATCCTGTGGGTCCAGAGCACAGAAGATGACGGTGTTAACAGCGTAGTGTCTCCGGAAGAACAGTCTGAGAGAGACAGTGTGTGTGTGTGTGTGTTTGAGTGTGTGTGTGTTTGAGTGTGTGTGTGTGTGTGTGTTTGAGTGTGTGCGTGTGATGTGTGATGTGTGTGAGTGTGAGTGTGTGTGTGTGTGTGTTAGTGGAGTTTCATCAGCTTCGGATACATGAACAAACAGCAGAGTGAATGTTACTTGTTTAATATTCAAGTAAAATTTAAAGTTGTCACTAAAGACTTCTAACTGATGATTTGTAAGTATTATTTTCGAGTATGTTTTACACTCAAAAACATTCACTTTGCATTCAGTTAAAGAGCAGGTCATATGAGTTTTTGAAAAGTAGGGTACAATGGGGCTAAAAGCACACCTTAAGAAAAAATGTTATTCACTGTGCCTAAAATGTATAATTGCAGAAAAAATATATACGTTTGTATTGAACAATAATGGAGTAACAGATTTTGTGTGAAAATAAATCATTCAAGTTGTTTATTTTGTTTAAAAATCGTATAAATGTATATTTTTACTCCCCACACACGGAGTAAAAGGCACACAGTATTTATACAAATACTTCAGCTAAAATAATGTTTTTATAATAATGTCTAAGTTAATACTTACTCAAAACAAGAATAGCAAAATTTGTACCATTTTCTGCTTATTTTGAAAAATAAAAGTATTAATTTTTGTTCAATAAATATAGTCATTAAAATGTTAATATAAAATATATATTTTAAAATACAGAAACAAAATCATTTTAATAAGTAAAGATTCTGAAAGCATTGAAGGAGATCCAATAATAATTGAATATATATTTACAGTAGTAACAACAAATTATATTTTATTATATGATATGATTAATATCATGTTTTTAAAAATGATGGTTTCATTCTAAACATGGTGATTATCTCTAATATGGATACTCAACATTATATATGATATTTACCATCTGAATCTAACCATGTCGTGTCAACAAATGGAAAAGTCAGCCATCTATTAATTATCATGTTAATTACTCTGTGCCTTTAGCCCCAACAGCAGGGGCGCTTTTGTTATTTAAAAACTGTTGCTTAAACAAAACTGAAAATCATTAAGAATACCTTTGTCTCAAAATATATGCATTAATTTTAGTGATTCTAATTTGCTACTTAAATCTACAACATTTAAAAAAGCATAAAATATTAGATCAAATAAGCACAGAATCAACTTTGCGCTGCTGCGCACGATCACGTCAAGGATCAGACAAATATACACGTGCATCTTGAAAAGCGATGTTTTGGAAAGTGCTGCGCCACGTTTTTCTGCAATGTTTTTGAACCTTTTGTTGTTTGCTCGTCATTTTACAGAGGACTGCTTCTCTAATCTTGGAGAGTTCAACATGGGATTCGCTAAACGCTTGTCCATCAAAGATAAGTCCGTACCTTCTTTATTTGGACCAACAAGCGTCTCTGAGTCACAATCTGCAATGTTGATTAATTGTGATTAATACGTTATGTGTACATTTTCAATTGAGTGCTCAAAATATCAAGTTTTTTGTGCTAATATGTGATGCATACCTTGTGCAGCTTTAGGTTTCCAGGTAAACTACGATATTACTGTCTGTCTGAAATAGTTCTGATTAATGTAGACTGTAATTACTTTGTTTAATAATAAAGAATGTAGACAAGAATGTAAAGGATGTATTGTTTCGTCAGCACTCGGCTAACATATCATTATTGTTTTGTTAAGTGTTTACAGTTTAGCAGCTAAACTTTAGCTGTGGGCATGATTCGCTTGCATAAGTGTTAAACAAAATGTTTTTTATGTCATTATTTTAAGAATGGATTGGAGCACTATATTATTGTTTTGTGTAAAGGTAGCGCTCGCTAACTTTCTCAAGTACTCCTCTCTGAACCAATCACAACAGACTTGGCCAGCTGACCAATCAGAGCAGATCAGGCTTATGGAAGGGAGGGGTTTACAGACCTTAAGCTCAGAACTGCTTCGAACGAATCGTTTCAAAATCACTGACAAATGACTCTAATATTAAATGTATATTCTGAGAAAATTACAATGTTTTCTGACCTTAGATGCATTTAAACCTGTTGTAGGGGACTCCAACACAATATAAGGACACTTTAAAAAAGCATATGACCTGCTCTTTAATGGGTTGAGTTCCCCGTGAACTTGTGTAAGTCACTGTGGGGAAAAGTGTCTGTCAGAGGCGTGAATGTTTGAGGGCTGCGTTACTTTCTCTGGTTGTCGGTGAGCGTGATTCCCTGCGAGGACACTTTGAAGTGCACTACGGTGGAGGACGGGAGCGAGTCGGCGCTCAGGACCGCAGCGGTGGCCTTCTGCACCGCCTGAAACCCCGTCAGAGACTCCATCTCCACCGCACCCAGGAACCACACGTTACAGGCTGGAAAACACACGATTATGAGAGCGTGAGGTTAATCAGTGAGTGATTGCAGCTCAGGTATCATTACTGGACGCACCTGCTCCTTGTTTGAGGAGCTCAGCCGCAGAGTTGGTGATGGACTGTGACGATGCGCTGACAGCGTCCTCTAGAGGATCTGAGGAGAAACAACAGCACACCATCACACCCAGCTTGAGTCTCTCCAGGATCATATTATAATCATACACGCTCATGAGAGGGTCATAATGTCAACTGAATGAGCTCATCAGAATTTAACAGTGAGTTTATTTAAGTGCTTATACACTACTGGTCAAAAGTCTGAAAGAAGTCACTTTTGCTCACCAAGACTGCATTTATTTGATCGCAAATACAGTAATATTGTGAAATATTATTACAGTTTAAAATATACGTTTTCAGTGTGAATATCTGTTGAATTGTAATTTATTTCTGTGATTAAAGCTGAATTTTCTGCATCATTACGCCAGTCTTCAGTGTCACATGATGATTATTTTAGTATTATTTATATACTATTATAGCATTTATTAATTTAATCTGCATTTTTTTGTCATTTTAAAGATTTGCTGATTTCCATTTATTTTTTATTTTTTATTATATTTAGTTAAATTTATTTTTATTTCAGTTTTAGTTTTTGTCATTTTAGTACTTCAACTTAGTTGCCAAGGCAGTATTTTTAGTTTAGTTAGTATTTTATTTTATTTACGCTTTATTATGAATGAACAGAAGTGATTTTGATGGTTGTAGTGAACAGTAAGAGATGAATACCTCTGTCAGGAATGATGAGTTTACAGGGAAGAGCCAGAGGAGTGATGGAGTGCTGACAGACCAGAGCGCTCAGACTGCCTGCCACACACACACACACACACACACACACACACACACACATCAGTGTGAGTGAGTGAGTTACACAGCAGCACGAGTCAGTCACAGGTCTGATGAACTTACCAAAGTAGGGTTCGTTAGGGCATCCCTTGAGCCGGACGCCCCGCGCCGAGCACTCGATCAGGAAGTGCCGCACCAGCTCACTGGACAGATCCACTCCTGACACACACACACACACACACATCAACAATGGCGTCTATAACATCACAGCTGATGCTTACAGCACCATCAGCACTACACTACTGACAAACAAGAGTGCTTAACTGCACTGAATGTGCACTTGTTACCCCTGGGAGATATCAGCAGGAAACATGGTGTTATGCTGATGATACTCAGCTCTATATTTCTTCGCGGCCCAGCGAAACATACAAATTTGAACGGAATACATAGTCGATATAAAAAACTGGATGACGAGTAATTTCTCACTGCTAAATTCTGAAAAAACAGAGGTGTTAATTATCAGACCTAAAACCTCCGCATGTAATAACCTAGAACACTGTCTAACACTTGATGGCTGCTCTGTTAATTCTTCGTCATCAGTTAGGAACCTAGGTGTGCTATTTGATAGCAATCTTTCGGTAGAAAGCCACTTTTCTAGCATTTGTAAAACTGCATTTTTCCATCTCAAAAATATATCTAAATTACGACCTATGCTCTCAATGTCAAATGCAGAAA